ACCCTTGTGTGGCAGTAGAGAACCTTCAGGAATATTTCACTTGCAAAGGTAGCCCCTGAAGAATGAGGTGTCTCAATCCCTCACTGGGCTCCTCATTCCAGAGCACCAGACCTGGGAAGAGGCAGTGGCATAACAACTGCCTGTAAAAATCAGTGGGGATTTCATCCACCAGGGAGGTACTGGAGGTCTAGTGAAAAATCAGGTGTCCTCTTAAAGGGCCAGCACACAAAATGTCTTTTGCAGGCAACACTCATCTCAGGCTCCAGCAGAGAGATTGAGGCTGAGAGCAGACACCCGGCAGCTTCTGCTTCACCAGCAAGGTAAATTCTGCAAGGAGAGAGTACTCCAGGTAGAAGGGTCCGTAGGAAGCGTGGGTGCCATTGGTTGACTGTGCTGCTGGGGCAGGAGACGTGGGCTTCATGATGGAAAAAGCGATCTTGAGTATAGAGGGCAGCTGTTTCTTTGGAGGCATGCATGGAGGGCTGTTCTTCCCGGCCCCGGTCACTATCTTCTCTTCACCATCATATCGTTTGCGTCCAGAGCTTGCAGACCTGCTCCAGAAGGGGTTCATAACATGTGCTCCACACAGAGAGGTGCAGCTGCCTGTGTCATCCAACTTCTGTCCCCAAAGTCATGTTACCTTCCTCCTGCAGCTCCCAAGGTCTCTTGGCTGGGGGTGCCCTCCCTGGGGAGCTGAAGGGACAAGGAGGACAGCCACTCAGCAGCTCCCAACACCCATTTTTGATAAAAACTCTCAGCAAGGTGGGAATAGAAGGATCATACCACAACGTAATAAAAGCCATGTATGACAAACCCACAGCCAACATCATATTCAATGGGAAAAAAAACTAAAGTCATTTCCCCTAAGAACAGGAACAAGAAAGGGATTCCCACTCTCACCACTCATGTTCGACACAGTACTGGAAGTATTAGCCATTGCGATAAGACAAGAAGAAGAAATAAAAGGCATCCAAATTGGAAAAGAAGTAAAACTGTCCTTATTCACAGATGACATGATATTGTACATAAAAAACCCTAAAGACTCAAAAAATTAGACTTATTAAATGAATTCGGCAGTGTAGCAAGATACAAAATTAACGCCAAGAAATCTGTGGCATTTCTATACACCAATAGTGAACTTACAGAAAGAGAGACTAAAAAAGCAATCCCATTTACCATCACACCAAAACACATTAAGATACCTAGGAATAAACTTAACTAAGGAGGTATAAGACCTAAATGCAGAAAACTATAGGACACTGAAAAACGAGATAGAGGAAGACATAAACAGATGGAAGAACATACCATGTTCATGGATTGGTAGAATCAACATCATTAAAATGTCCATACTACCCAAAGCAATCTATAGATTCAATGCACTCCCCATTAAATTACCAATGGTATATTTCACAGACCTAGAACAAACTGTCCAAAAATACATCTGGAATCAAAAAGGACCCCAAATAGCCACAGCAATCCTGAGAAAGAACAAAGTAGGTAGGATCTCAATACCAGATTTCAAGCTGTATTACAAAGCCACTATTCTCAAAATAGCCTGCTACTGGCACACGAACAGACATATAGACCAATGGAAACGAATAGAGAACCCAGATATCAAACCAAACCACTATACTCAATTAATATTTGACAAAGGAGTCATGGACATACAATGGAGTCAAGACAATCTCTTTAGTAAATGGTGTTGGGAAAATTGGACAGATACATGCAAAAAATGAAACTAGACCACCAACTTACACCATACACAAAAATAAACTCAAAATGGATAAAAGACTTAAACATAGGACAGGAAACCATAAAAATACTAGAGGAATCCACAGGCAGCGAAATCTCAGACATATGCCGAAACGATTTTTTCACCAATACCGCTCCTAGGGCAATGGAAACTAATGAGAAAATAAACAAATGGGACTATATCAAAATAAAAAGTTTTTGCACAGCAAAAGAAACCATCAACCAAACAACAAGAAAGTCCACTGTATGGGAGAACATATTTGCAAATGTTATCACTGATAAAGGCTTAATCTCCAACATTTACATGGAACTCATGCAACTTAATAAAAGGAAGATAAATGATCCAATAAAAAAAGGAACCCTTGTGCACTGCTGGTGGGAATGCAGACTGTGGAGAACATTATGGAGTTTCCTCAAAAAACTAAAAATGGAACTCCCATTTGACCCAGTAATCCCACTTCTAGGAATATATCCCAAGAAACTAGAAACACCAATCAGAAAGGATATATGCACCCCTATGTTCATAGCAGCATAATTCACCATAGCTAAGATTTGGAAACAGCCTAAATGCCCATCAGTAGATGAGTGGATTAGAAAACTATGGTACATCTACACAATGGAATACTACGCTGCTATAAAAAGAAGGAATTCTAAGTGAAATAAGCCAGGCAATGAAGAAAAATACCACATGATCTCACTCAGTTATGGAAAATAAAGAACATTATAATCTGATGAACAAAAAGATGGATACAGAGGCAGTAAAACATCGAACAGACTGTCAAATTACAGCAGGAAGGCTGGGGAGTGTTGGGGGGAAGGGAAAGAGATCAAGTGAAGGACTTGTATGCATGCATATAAGCACAATCAATAGACACAAGACACTGTGGGTGGGTGGGATGAGGGCATGCGACAGGGGTAGGGGAGGCTGGGGGAAGGTCAATGGGGGAAAAAAGGAGATATATCTACTACTATGTGTAATACTTTAAACAATAAAAAAAAAGAATCAGGACTGTAATTGCCATGACTTTTTCTTCTTTATTTTATGAGTGTATGTGTGTATAAAAATGTGTTTTATTCCTTCTCTTCCTTATCATACAACATAACATGCATATCATATTACTTAAGTATTGCTAATTTTATATCATACTACTTAAGCTATGAGATATCTTGGAAGAGTAAAGAAATCACTCAAGGACTTTTCCTTCCCTCCCAGAAAAGTGGTTAGTGTGTTTTTGGTTATATGCAGGTTGTAACATATTTGGTTATATGCAGGTTGTAACATATTTGGTTTTTGGTTTACCTAACTAAGCCTGTCTGTTGTTTTTTGCATCTATGACAACATATGATTGGAATGTCAAGGTAACTTGTAACTTCCCTTTTTTTGGACTTTTCAGGTAATAACCAGTGGGCCAGGGTGGAGACCACAAATTCATTCATTGTTATTATTATCTTGTTAGTTAGTGACTGTTAACTATCCTGTACAAACCTATGTAAAGCAGCATAGGTCTATCATTTTACTTTTTATCTAATGCCAGAGGTTTCCCTACTTTACTTGCTCTTGCCTCCCTAATCTATCACCATTGGATTTCATGTAGCTCACTCACATCTCCTCCTTTGATTGCAGTGTAAAAAAATAAGGAAAAAGCACCATTCTCTGGAGCATTATCTCAAAACTTTGAGATTCTGCTTTTGGCCAATTGTATTCAGTTTTGCTAAAATAAACTCACAAAAATTCTGTAAAGTTTTAAATGTTTGTTACTGTTGTGGAGCACGAGTGACAGAATGACCAGAACTCCAGACTGATTAAAATTTAGAGACTGGCCAGTGTCCACTCCTCCACTCAGGAAGCCCAAGAGAGAAGCGGACCCAACCATCTGCAGAGTTCAATATTTGAAGGGGACAACTACATCCATGTTCAGGTTCCGCATAGCAAGCAAAGCCAAGTTACAAAAGCTAGTTGTGTAGTTTTAGCCAAGCTATTCATCCTCCTGTTATTCATTTCTAGGTTACTTAAAGTGTTATGGGTTTACTCAGCGAGATAGACCACCGACTCAGAATTTAAATTTAGGAGCCTTTATTAAGCTGGCCAGCTGACTACAGTACGCCCCTCCTGTAGGGAACCTCATACTGCAGTGCTGACCGAGGGTACAGCAAAGCCTTTTATCTGTAATGCTACAAAGCATTTCCTGGCACTGGCAGGGTTCATACAAAGTTTACAAGTATGAATGGGGGGGTAAACGGAGTCACACCTGGCTGGGTTGAATCATAATACATTGTTTTCTGAGACAATCTAGCAATTTTTCTCTGTCACAATCCCGGACCCTAATACAATAGGTAACCTTTCCATACCTCCGTCCCTCCCCCTAGCACATTCTGTAACCCTTCCATGCCTCAGTCCCTCACCCTAGCACAAAAGGTCAGGACTATTCTTAATTTTGATCTGTTTGTTCTTTGTAGGCCGTTGCTCAGGTGTGTTGATCTCTTTGTTCTTTGTGGGCCATTTCTCAGGTGTGGGAGCTCAGTTCCTAGAAACTTTGCACAGGCTGTCAAGCTGCTAAGGTGGCTAGGTAATTAAGCAGGCCTGAAAATTTTCCTACTCTGTAACATTACGTTGAGATCAGCAAGGTGGGGCCATCCATGATAGTGACAGAAACAAGGGATATAGTCTGAGACAGGTTCTAAACATTAACCCAAAATGCTCAGAGGAAGAACAGACTGGAAGAGAGAGGAGAGCTGTTAGGGACAGGAAGGAGAAGTCCTGTAAAAGTAATGCATCTGGCAAGAGTGTGCACTGAGGACTGAGCCCTGAGGTAATACAGGCATCTCGAGGTCACCTGCCCCTAGGGCTGGGTAAGGCTACTGAGCAACCCGAGTCCATGGATCCTGGCGGTTGACAGTCTCTCAGCAAACCTTAATTTTTCCACAGATTCCGCAAATGCAGAATCACTTACGGGGTACTAGTTTGTGGAACTTATTTTAGGGCCTCCCACTCTTGTAGCCTAAGAGATAGTGGTCCCCTGGGACTCTCCTCTCCTTCGACCTGAGGACCTTGAACAGACACCAAGCCCAGACTGTTAAGTCCAGGTCCAGTGTTATATGAAGTGGTCCCTGTTTTGGGCAACCAGTGGAATGACAAGTTGTGGGTCCTCCCAGGCATAGGTACCAGAATGTGCAATGGCTTGGAGATAAAATGGAGCTGATTTCAGAACTGGCAGGTATTCTTTTTAAAAAAATTGGAACAGGTAAGAATGGGACAGGAGTCAGGTCTAGAGGAACTTTGTGTCTGTTTTGCCTGTTATGGGAGCAATGGGCGATTTGGAGCAGTGGAGGCAGGTGATGTGACCAGGGATCCTCAGATTCTGTGGCTGCAGCATGATGGACAATATGGGCGTGAGGGAGGTGGTAGAAATAGTAGGACGATAGCATTAGTGAGTGTGATGGGAACTGGCCCATGATGGTGGCTGTGGAAGTGGGGAAACAGTTGCATTATGGATTGGTGTTTTAGGTGTGGCCACCTAAATATTCTAATTTTGAGGATGTGTGTGAGAGAGAGAGATAAGAGTCAGAGAAGTCATGACATTTAGGATTTAGCAGCTGCAGGTATGGAAGCACCATCCACTGAGATGGAGAAAATCAAAGAAGAGTAATATTCCTTGGGGATACAAACACTTTTCTTTCTAGCCTGTTAGAGTCTGAGATTTCAGAAAGCAGTTCATAAGCATCTCCAACTCTGATGGGTAGTTTAGGATAAAGACTTCTTCAAAAGCTTGTGGAGAATTATGGACCAGGAAGAGGTATAGATAATTTTTTAAAATGGGAGGCTGAAGAGTAATTCCAACAAGTTGAGACTGGGAATGGTGCATATTTACTTCTGAAACATCCGCCAGGAACTTTTTGTGCCATTGGGTGTGGCCTGAGGTGTTGCAGTCAGTTCGGGTGACTTGCGTAGGGCCATGAGGGGTCATCTGTGAGACTCACTGGGCATAGGGTAGAGGGCTATAGGTGATGGGACTTGAGTGATGAAGCCTGTGACTGGTGAAGTGACATCAGGTGCAGCACCAGTGGAGGTGGGCTCTGGACATCTGAGATGTGATGTGGTTCCCAGTAGGTGAGGTTGAAGGAATAAACAGTCAGGGAGGGAGGTCTTAGCAGGTTCAAGACTGTTGCTATGACTGTGGACTATCAGAGTTGGTAGAATACTTGATCTTTGAATTTGTCAAGCATTCTCTGGAACACACATGCTGAGTACTGAGTAGAAAACCCAGGAGATGGCTATAGGGGCTGAGGCTCTGCGAGTTCAGGAATGAGAGAAGTGTAGTAGGAAGAGTGATTTGCACTTGGAGAGGGAGTGTGAATTCTTGAGGGCACGGCACTAGCATTTACATATGAGTGAATGAAAAGGGCATCCATTTCTGATGGTGTCTTTATAATATGATATTGGGGAATTTTAGGATAATTTCTAACAAGATGGGTTGCTGTGGTGCTACATGCCAGGTCCAGAGCTTAGGTGCCATATACGTGCCCACCTGTCATTTCTAGTTGAGGGCTGACCCAGTGAACAATAGGAATGAGAGAGCATACATCGGTGTCATCTGCGCTTGTAAATCTCCACTGGCATGGGGAAAGGAGAAGAGAGAAGAGTCAGAGGGAAATATATTACAGAGGTGGTGAATTAAAATTTTGAAAAAGAAGCTGATTAGGAAACACCCTGTCCTCGTCATGGCTAATTTGTGTTACCAGTGAAGCTGTGCCTCTGGGAATGAAGCTGTGTGAGACAAGTGTGGATCAAAGAACTATGGGCAGCAGGTAATGCAAAGTGATGGCCTCAGCAAATTGGGATTGGAGTCAGAAGTATAATGGGCATTACCATGTTTTACGGTGTCTTGGAGGGACAATTTAGAGGACAACATGAGTATTGCCTGACAAGACCAGTGTCAAATCCATCACATTCCCTTTATGTGCAGCATTTCTTCCTACCCTATGTTCCTGACACCTACTGCTATTGAAAAGGGTCAGTGTGACTCACATTTGAGGATCAGAGCACAGGTTTCTTGTATTTGTTCATCTGCCTTTATTGTTGTGGGAAGACACAGCATCAGTAGGAATATAAAGAGAGATTGACGTTGATGGACCAAGGCCTGCTACCTTCTCTGATGTGGGGAGTAAAGGGAGCAAATAGATATGCAGGGTGAGGAGTATGACAAGCTTGGAATCTCAAGAGAGAATCTTATCATGGGATGTACTGTCTCCATTATGACAGGATATGAACTTTGAGGACGTGGCCATTGCGTTCTCTCGGAAGGAGTGGGAGATCCTTGATGAGTCTCAGAGACGTCTGTACTGTGATGTGATGCTGGAAGTGTTTTCACTTGTATCATTTGTAGGTAAGACCTTCACATCTCTCCTAGGGTCCTGAAGTGATGCCCACTCTTTATTTATTCTCCAGACATATCACTCTCTCTCTCAAATCAAGACCATGGGCTCTGCTAATTTCCCCCACTGTCTTGTCAAATGGGCTATGCCTGCTAGTGCTGAGCTCTGCGGAGAGCTCTGAGCAATAGACTCCATAAACCTCCTTAACACCCGTTGCCTCAGAAACTGCAAGATGTGTCTGGGTGTCAACACATGTACAGACTGCTTAATGGGTCCCACCTGCTCTTCCTCTCCCAGGGAGGGTGACTATATCCTGATCCGTGGCCTCCACTTCTGAGCATTTCCTGTAGATGAGGACCTTGTTGAATGCCTGAACCAGGGGGTATTCTTTTAAGACACTCCTTCAATTGTTGTTTGTAATATTACCTTTCCTCAATAATATTGCAACCCAGATGCTATGGGCTAGTGATGGCTGCTCACCTCTGTTGTCTATCATTGATACTCGGAATATTTAGTTTGTACATATTTCTAGAGAATGAGGTACAGGGAGAACCCTGGTTTTCTCCAGGGTGAACATACAGGATGGTCTCAGAAGATGCCTGGCCCTTCTGAGTGGCAACTTGGGGAAGGTATGACATAAGCGTGGTGTTCATATTGTACCTGGAAGCTGCTGCTGTACAACAGTGTTTGGTGCAGGTTCCAATGGCCACACCTCATTTATACCTTTCCTTTTCCACACTTGACACTTTGCTGACTTGTCATTTTATCAGTGACTTCCTAGCTTTGTCTATCTTCGCCTTTGTGTCCTTTTTACATCACCTGTTCCTCTGCACATCTCTTTCTGCAGCATTCTACAACATGGACCTTTGCAAGTGTTATGAGGAGCACATAAATGCTTAAACACCCCTCAAACACCAGCTCTTTCTGTATTGAATTTTACTTGGAATGAGATGTAACCAACCATCTGCACAGCTTGCCCATGTCACCAGCAGAGAAGATCTACTGAATGCTGTTAGCAGCATAATGAGCTGAACAGTCCACTTCTCTTCCATGTGCTGCTTGTCATGTTTTTGCTCTATTTCTGTTGAAATCTCCCTTGTTTTGTGATCTTCAGTGGTCAAGAACTTCACAGGGGCCTCCTACTAATTTATCTTTCAGGTCTTTCATTTTCAGCCAGTTGCATGAAACCAATGTAGTATGTGCAACACACTTTTATAATGGGACTTCACCCTGTCACCAGAGTCAACATTCATTTCCTCATCATTCCTCTGTTTTCAGGTCCTTGGCATAAAATGAATGATGTGGAGGCCTATTCTCAGCACAGTGTATCTGTAGGAGAGTCTCATGTCAGGGCTTCCAAGACAGCTGCAGCCACCCAGAGGACCCATCTGTGTAAGCCGTGCTTCTCAGTGTTAAAAGATATTTTGCACCTGACTGAGTTACAAGTGGTTTACTTTGAGAAGAATGTGCTCTTAAGTGATGCATGTGTGAGAGACTTGTGTTTCAGTGCAAACTCTCACCAGCAACAGAAGGATGCCAGTGGAGAGAAGCCCTGGAAAGAAGATATGGAGAGGTCCCCACTTGGGACCAGTTGCTTCTACTTATCCAGGGTGCCTGCAGCTAGGACGGAGGTTGGGGAAGACTCCCCAGCCATCTCAGAGCTTCTCCAGCACCAGGCCACTCTTAACACCAAAGAGCCACACAGTAACAATGAGATTTCACAGGAATGTCTCAGTGGAAAAAGACATCACCAGTGGATTGAATGTGAAACAGCTGCCAGCCAGAAACAGAAAGTTGCTTATCAGAAAGGTCTCTGCTCTGGAGATATGATTTATGGTTCTAATAAATGTGGGAAACGGTTTAGACGAATCTTTAACCACCCTCAACATGGAAGAGTTCACACTGGAGAAAAGCCCAGTGAAGGTACTGATTGTGGGAAGGTCTTCAGTGAAAGGACTGCTCTCATTAAACACAGCAGAGTTCACATTAGAAAAAAGCCATATGAGTGTAGTGATTGTGAGAAGTCCTTCAGTTACATGTCTGACTTCACTAGACACCGCAGAGTTCACACTGGAGAAAAGCCATATGGGTGTAGTGAATGTGGTAAGCATTTCAGTCAAAGGACTGACCTTATTACCCACCAAAGAATTCACACTGGAGAAAAGCCATATGCGTGTAGTGAATGTGGGAAGCATTTCAGTCAAAAGACTGACCTCACTAAACACCAGAGAGTTCACACTGGTGAAAAGCCCTATGAGTGTAGTAATTGTGGGAAATCCTTTAGTAAAAGCTATAGCCTCAGTCGACACAAGAGAGTTCAGACTCGTGAATGTAGTAAGTATAGTGAAAGTGGAAAATCTTTTAGCTACAAACATAAACCGGCTAGATACAAGAGAGTTCACACTGGAGAAAAGTCATATAGTTGTAGCGAATGTGGTAAGCATTTCACTCGAAGGACTGACCTTATTAAACACCACAGAGTTCACACTGGAGAAAAGCCTTATGAGTGTAGTGAATGTGGGAAGTCCTTTCATCAAAGTTCTAACCTGACTACACATCACAAGAGAGTTCACACTGGAGAAAAGCCGTAAAGGTGCAGGGAATGTTTTATTTTTCTCACTTAGAATAAGAACACTTAAGGAGATTCGATGGGACCCACTTACATGAATGTAAACTCCATTTATGAGAACATACACTCTGCTAGATTCCTCATAAATTTCCAATACAAGTGAGACTTGAAGGAACTGCATTGTACTTGCTAACATGCCCAGACCTACGACCCAAATGGTGTCACCGTGTTTGTTGCTGAAGAGATTTCACCTCTAACACCTGGCTCACCTGAGGAGTGTGCATGGTCATCATCCCTGGGTGCTCAGGGGAATGTGTTCTGTGTTGTCACTTCTGCTTGAAGTAATTATGGTTCCTCCAAGCCCTTGGCAGTATCTTCATTCATTTCTCTATGACTAGAAGATGGACCTGGCCCAGGATTCATCCAGAGCACCCCTTCTCAGCTAAGAAGTGCTACCTCTTTCATGGACATAGTGGTACTCACATTATGCTTTGATAAATTTGGGGGATTCTTATTCACCAACCTGCAAACTCTGTGCTCTCCTCTCCTCTGGTTTATGATCTTTTTTAAAGGTGTGTTTACATTTGTACCTTTAATTTTGGTTTTATTCACTGCCACAGATGATTTGCAAACACAAATGTGATCTTTCAACATGTAGAGATGAATATTGTGTTTATCCAAAAATTGATGTGGTTTGGAAGGGACAGCATAATGGCAGGAAATCACTTTTTGTCCAATATTGGCTTATTATTTACTGCAGCCCATGGGCTTGAAAGAAAGGCCACATGACTTTGTGCATTTAAGTTGCTCAACAGGCAAGAAGTCAAAGCTAGAGGAAGGATAATCCTGTAATCTGTCCCAGATGTGTCTTTTGTAAGCACTCAGCATTCCTGTTAATTTTAATGTCAATAGTTTGTTGTTGTTTTAAAAATATATACTTTTATTGATTTCAGTGAGAAAGGGAGAGAGAGAGAGAAATACCAATGATGAGTGAGAATCATTGATCGGCTGCCTCCTGCACGCCCCACCCTGGGGATGGAGCCCACAACCTGGACATGTGCCCTGACCAGCAATCAAACCATGACTTCCTGGTTCACAGGTTGATGCTCAACCACTTAGTCACACCGGCTGAGCTGATGGCAATAGTCTTTACTGCTTGCCAATATTTGCTGCCACTGAGGCAAGGCTGGTCCTCCCAAGAAATGAAGAGAGGGATGCTTGTGTCTATATAGGGTTGCCATCTTAATTTTCTAACAACATAGGGATGTCTAGGATTTATATGGAACCACATTTCAAGGCTTTACTTAGGTTTATGTATAACTGACAACCAAGGAAATGCACTTTTCTAATGTGCATTATTTGGTGAGGTTGAACATACAGATAAAGCTGGAAACCGTCACAGGTGAAATAGGCTTCTGTTACCCACATCCATGTGGGGGAAAAAAGTAGACTTACTATTGTGAGTATGCCAAACACAGTTAATTCTCTTTTTCAAGTAACTATTTTATATATTTTAAAGTGTATTTTTATTAAATGTTGAAAGGAAGGGAGAGAGAGAAACAGCAATCGCCTGCCTCCTGCATGACCATTCCTGGGGATTCAGGATGGCATGTGCCCTGCCCTGGCACCAAACCAGTGGCTTTCAGTGAACGTGATCACGCCCAGCAAAAGGAGGCACAGTGGCCATGGAGAGTTTATATTTGTGTTATTATTAATTATTGTATTATTTTCAGTACCAACAACTGTAAACCTGCTATTGCCACACCCTGTATTTACTTCCAGTCCTTTTGTCAGCTTTCTGCCTCCCCAGCCCTCCATACAGGCATTGATTTACCTTCCTGTACAATAGAGTAGTTCATATTTTTCATAATTTTATTGGCATTATAAGGTGAATTCTCTTTAAGAAACACTGGCTTCCTTCATGCTACACAGATATTTTGAGATTCGAAACTAATGATTATGTAAATAGTTAATTTTTTATTGCTAGGAAATACTGTATTCTATGGATAACCACTTTAACTATTGAGCTGTCTATGGTTTCAGTTATTTCTACGTTTGGGGTTTTCTAAATAAAACAGCTGGGAATATTGTGTTCAGTTCTTCCTACAGGTGTATGTCTTATCATAGTGTTCCAGTGTCAGTGAATGTGTTACATTTTAATATATGGGGAACTGTGATCTACAATGATCAATCACTTTGCCTTCCCACCCACAGTAATGAAAATTCCATTTTTCTGCAACCCTGCCAGCAAAGGCGAAGGTTAATCTTTTTCAGTTCTAGTCCCATCCGTGAGTATACTGTTAACTTGGTTTTGTTTTAATTTCATTTCCCTAAAAATGTTTGATGGTGGTTAATTCTTCACGCATTTCTTTACACTTTCTTATCTCCTCTGTTAAAATATCTGCTCAAAATTTTTTATCTACTTCAAAAGTTAATTTCTTATTCTACACAATAGGACAGTGCAGCCTCTAAGACATATGTTTGAATTTCACTCATTCCTCAATGACTCGAGTGACTTCTTTGCCATATGGAATTCTTGGTTTTGAATTCTATAAACAAAATAGTTTTTCTCAATTTTTATCCTATGTCTGATTTATAGCCCACTTGTACCATACACTTATAAGTTTAATCTGCATTGTTAACATTCTCCACCAGTGTTCTTTAAGTCTAAGCATTTATTAATACATTAAGCGAAGTCTAGGTTAGTAGTAGTTGACAGTTTCCCTGGTGTAAATACTGATCATCACCACATTGAAACTGCCAAAATGATGGCATTGAACATGGTCCTAAGACATTATGTAGTACATCATATTTTACTAGTGACCGGGTGCATGGATTCGTGCACATTGAAAGGAAATAAATTAGAAAGTGGCTGGCAGGGCGGGACTGGGTGAGACTGTCCCCACAAGCGTTAGAGCCAACCTCCCACAGTCCCTCCCCAGCCAGCAGCACCTGGGGCGGCACCGTGGCTTGAAGGGTCCCTCCCACAGGTGGAGTCCCTCGGCCTGGCCTGCAGGGATTAGGCCAAATCCAGCTCATCAACATCCCCAGAGCATTCCTGGATTGTGAGAGGGCAGTTCTCACATGACGCATCCCGAAATCCAGCTCCCTCCACTCTGGTTCTGTGGTGCATCACTCGAGAACCGCTGCTGTGAAGTAATCACAACTTGGCAGCTCTTGCGTTGAGTATCTTCAGCCTGGTGGTCATTACACATCATAGCTACTTGTCAGGCAGTCAGACAGTTGCTTAGCCTTTTACATATATATTTTTTCAGCATACTGATAGAGTAGCAATGAATGTGATCAAGAACATTCCTAATTAGCTGAATTATTGGAAAGTGGTAAGTTTTAAACATTTTTTAAAGTTTCATATAAGTGTGATTGATTTAAAACATAAGTTTTAAGTAAATATATAGGGTGTCCCAAAATTCACACGAGAAGTAATTTTGATAGAAAACACAGGTTTATAATTAAAAATTGTACATTTTTTTATGGATTCATAAAGTATACAGTATAGGGTTATGTATAGAATAGCACATCGGGTAAATGGCCTCCACGGCTTTGCTGGCACATATGCAAAGCCGTGGTCTTCATTGGTCTTCATTGTCCCTGCTCCTGGGCCATAATTGGTACTTGGTAATGCTTATCAAATTGAAGGGATTGAAATCAAAGGGCAACAGATATTAGAATCTGATTCAATAAACCAAGTAAAATCAGGCTTTTATTTTTTGTTGTTGTTAATGCTTACGCAAAATTCAAATCTTGCGTGAATTTTGGAACACCCTATATATATTTAAACCTAGAGGCCTGGTGCATGAATTTGTGCACGGGTGGGGTCCCTTTGGGGTGGGCTGAAGGGATTGGGCCAAAACCTGCAGGTAAATGCTGCCTGCAGCTCCTGTCTGCCGTTCCTGCCTGCAGCTCCTGCTCATCCCAGCCCCAGTACACCTGATAGTCAGCCCTGATCGGGAGAGACTTGCACTGATGCAGCGCCACTCACCTACCCTGAGCCCTGTGTCTGGTACCCATCTCGAGGGGGATGGGTTGTGGGGCTGGGAAGCAATCAGCCCTTCAGACAGGAGGTTTGGTGCCTTTGCCAGCCTGAATTCCAGATCCGCCCTACTGTCGTTCGAGCGTCTAGGTAGGGGAAGTGGCTGTGGTGCCCGAGCCCAACTTCCAGGAGGCCTGCAGTTCTTTCAGGAATGGCCCAGCAGCACCAACCCTTCACTGCCTGGCCCGTTTTCTGGAGATAGGACCTGCAGGACCACTGAGGGAGTGAGTGGTTGCTGCTGGACTGGTGGGCTGCTAGGATGGGTCAGTCAACTGAGAAGCACTCCCACTGTGGGAGCACACTGACCACCAGGGGGCAGCTCCTGCATTGAGCAACTGCCTCCTGGTGGTCAGTGCACGTCATAGCGGACTGCCGGCCTGGTCCCCCCAACTGCCCTCCCCTGCAGGCCTGGTCGCCCCTAACTGCCCTCCCCTGCTGGCCTGATTGCCCACAACTGCCGTCCCCTGCTGGCCATCTCGTTGTGCCCATCTTGTTTGAGGGTGTGACAGTCAATTTGTATATTACCTCCTTATCATATAGGATTATATTCTTTTCTATATCAGAAACTCTAAACCTACTTTTGCCATATCCTGTTTTTCCCAGCCATTTTATAATCTCTCTTCCTGTCTTTCTCAGCTCTCTATGCAGTCATTGATTATCATTTCTTTACAATAGAATAGTTTGTATTTTTCATAATTTATAGGCACTATTTTGTGTGTATTCTTTAACAAGTACTGGTTTCCTCCATGCTACACAGTATGAGATTCAACAGTATTGCTTATGTCAATACTTAATGATTTTTATTGCTGAGTAGCATTGGATAACTACTTTATTGACCTGTCTATTATTTTGGTTATTTCTAGGTTTGAAGTATTATACATAAATCTGCTGGGCATATTTGTGTTCAGTTCTCTATATCGACATATGTTTTACTTTTCAAACTGTTGCAGTGTAGGTGAATGTTTTCCATTTAAGATATGTGGCCCTGTGACCCAAAATGGTGATTGCTTTTGCCTTCCCCTAACCTATAGTATATAGAAATTCCAGTTTTTCTGCAACCCTGCCAGCACATGCAATGGTTAAACTTTTAAAATAATATCCCGGAAAATGAATATAGTGTTAACTCAATTTAGTTTTAATTCCATTTACCTAAGAAATTTTTATGGTTAGTGTTGTTGGTTTTTTTCATACGTTTGTTTACATTGTTTTTATCTCCTTTGTTAAAATGTCTGCTAAGAATCTTTTTCAAATTGTTTAAAGAAATGTATTACTTTAACCAGAAGGAAGACTGTGCAGCATCTAAGACAGTTTGAATTTCACTCATTTCTCAATGACTCAAGTGACTTCTTTGCCATATGGAATTATAGGTTTTGAATACTGGAAGGAAAATTTTTTTCTTCAATTTGTAGCCTATGTAAAATTTAACCCCCCTTGTACCTTATGTATGCATTATTAACATTCCCCACCACACTTGTTTAAGTCTAAGCATTCACTAATACATGAAGTGAAGTCTAGGTTTGTAATGTCTGTTAATTGCCCCATTGTACATGCTCTCATTATGGTCAGTTTCAAACTGTCAAACCAATGGCAGTAAACATGGGCATGATAAAATATTTCAATAGCAAATCATTGCATTTTAATTCCAACATACTGATACAGTGGCAACAAATATGCTCAAGAACATCCTTAATAAAAAATAGTAAATTATTTGGAAAGTGGCAAGTTAAACATTTTTGAAATATTTATTTAAGTATAATTGATTTAGAACATATATTCAAAAATATATTTTTATTGATTTCAGAGAGGGAGAGCTAGAAACACCAATGATAAGAGAAAGTCATTGGTCAGCAGCCTTCTGCACACCCCAAACTTGGGACTGAACTGGCAACCTGAGCATGTGCCCTGCCTGAGAATCGAACCATGACTTTCTGGTTCATAGGTCAACACTAACCACTGACCTACATCAGCCTGGCTATTACACTTTTTTACATGCACTTTTAAAAAAATATATTTTATTGATTTTTTACAGAGAAGAAAGGAGAGGGATAGAGAGTTAGAAACATCAATGAGAGAGAAACATTGACCAGCCGCCTCCTGCACACCTCCTACTAGGGATGTGCCTGCAACCAAGGTACATGCCCTTGACTGGAATCGAACCCGGGACCTTTCAGTCTGCAGGCCGACGCTCTATCCACTGAGCCAAACCGGTCTGGCTACATGCACTTTTGATATTTTCATACATGCCTGCATCTCTTAAACTGAATTGTTCCTGACTCTTTCAGTGCTTCCTTCTTGGCATATAAAAGTACTGATCAGAATATAATCTACCTTTGTAATACCTTGTTCAAATATATCCATATAAAGAAACACGAAACCCCATGCATCCTATTCTAGCCTTCTATCACTATTTGTCATCATGGTGGTTCTGGTGTCTATCTAATCTCAAGTACATTAGTGGGTTATTTTTCTGAAAACCCCAGATATGTCTGGCCCTGGTAAGGTAGCTCAGTTGGTTAGAGCATCATCTCGATAACACCTACACTGCAGGTTGCATTCTGTGTCAGGGCATATGCAAGAATTAAATGATGAATGATAAAATTAGTGGAACAACAAATGGATGTTTCTTTCTCTCCCAATTTTTCTCTCAAGTCAACATCTTTGGTGTATTGCTGTGTTTATTTTTACCCATTCAATTAGTTGACACATGTGAACACCTGCACAGACCAGATATCCAGTGATGAACCAGCACCCAGGGTTCTATTGAGTCTAGAGCATGCAATGCAGAGAGAACAGGAGGGAAGGTGCCCCTGATGCCAGTGTGGAGGGTGGGGAACTGGGTCTTTGCTGTACAATCACCCATAGGAGATGATGACATCTGTCCTCCCTGAGACTAAAACTTAAGGGGTCAGGAAAATCTCTGGGTCTGGACATACCCTTTGTGGTCTCTGCACATTCCAGCAAGATGTTAACACTTCTATACTTTAGATTCTATTCCTTCAGGAGCCCATATTCCTCTCAGGTGTTAAGGCTTGGAGAAATAGTGGCAGCTGGGCAGGTGGGTCAGGTAAAATGCCAGGGCAGTTGCCAGGTGGAGTTGGTGCTGGGCCATGTGTGTGGCTCTGAGGCCCTCTCTAGTCATAGTCCAGGCTGGTGGCCACTGTGTTCTTTGGGGCCATGGTTAGCAGGAAATGGAGCAAGCTCTGCTGCAGGAGTTCCTGAGGGGGAGGGGGAGGATCGTGACCTGGGAGTCAGCATGTGCTCCAAGTAAACATCTGACCCAGGCAGGGCCAACCTAGTCCACTGTAATGAAGTGCTCCAGCCATTGCCCTGCCCAGGGAGGGAGAGGAGCTGTCTCTGCAGAGGCTGATTCCCTATCTGCCCAGCAGGAGGGGTTGCAGGCTGCTGAACCAGGTGGTCCTGT